AAAACTTGTCCAACTGTGGGTTTTTCAGTCTTTCTGCAAAGTGTTACACAACAAGAGAAAAGAAATGACAAAAAACTGAAGACAACTCAGCTCTGAAGAAAAACTGAAACACAACAGAAGTTTGTGCGACTTTTTATTGTGGTTTAAAGAGTTGTGTGTTTCTAAAAAACAGTTTGTAGTGAACGGAAAATACTTTGAACTAACACGGAACCTAGACATTTCACACCTCACTTCAAAACGTGTGTGTGTGTGTGTCTGTGTGTATGTGTGTGTGCACTTGTTTTCAACTCCTGGTGGGTTCCATAACCTGAGATTCCACTCACGTCATGGGGACTGGTTTTACTTGGTGGGGCCCGAACACCGGACCCCACTGGTCCAAGCTTAATAATCAATGGGTAATGCTTTTCTAACGGTCCTTATGCAGTCTCTGTAAAAATATGGAAAGGACCCCTGGAGGTTTACTTTCCTGAAAAAAGTGTGTTATGTGTCGGAACCCTGGTGGTGGGTTGCGGGATATCAAGGAGGGGCACACTGGGGCAATTTCAGTCCAGCAGGCTGGAGCCAATCATGGAGCAGCACAACAGAGGAAATCAGGTGTCAGGCTAGAAAAAGGTGCAAGTGTGTGGTTCATTAGGCTGCAAGAAATCATGGAGGAGCACACTGAAGCGCACGCTTACAAACCACTGGTAAGTGCTGACTACAAGTCATGACTTCAAATTGTTATATAGAATGATTACAAATTATTTGTTGTTTGTGCAGCTTAGTCAAGAGTCCCTAATTGATGAAGTCGACTCAGATTCTGACGATTTAACTGTCAAGAAGAAACCTGTAAAAAAGTATGGAAAAAGAAAAATCAAAAACACTTTTCTTCAAGACTCGGAAAGTGACGAACCAAAGGCAAATAAGATTGTTATCATGCAGCTGCAAAAGAAGAAAAATGGGGGGCGAGTATACAGCAAGAGACACTTCTGCCTCTACTGTTCAATGTCCTGCCACAAAATGTCCCGTCATTTGACTAGAAAACATGGAAATGAAAGTGACGTAGCCAGAGCATTGGCTCTACCTGTGAAATCTAAAGCACGTAAACTTCAGTTTGATTTGATCAGGAATAGTGGAAACCGTGAGCACAATTTTGAGGTTTTAAAGGCCGGCATTGGAACTTAGTCCCAGCTAAACAGCCAAATTCCCCAGTTAAATCCAGTGAGTTTTTGCACTGTATAGACTGTGGGGCATTGCTTAAGCGAAAGTCGCTGTGGAGGCATGTGGCCAGGTGCCGGCTTTCACAGAAAGATGCCCAGGCTAAACCAGGTAGAAGTAGGGTCCAGTCCCTCTGCTCCCTAGCCCAGCCTGTACCGGAGGGCATCAGCAAAAAGCTGTGGTCTTTAATTTCGGCAATGCATCAGGATGAGGTCACGGGTGTTGTCAAAGCAGAAAAGGGGATTCTGAGACTCGGAGAGCACCTGTACTTAAAACACGGGCATGATAAGACTAAGCATGATTACATTAGGCAGAAAATGAGAGAAGTCGGTAGGTTAATTAACGAAGCAAAAACCGCAGGGAAACTGAAAACAATTAAGGATTTCTTTATTCCTTCCAACTTTAACCATGTGATTGATGCAGTCAGGTCTGTGGCTGGATATGATGAGGAAACAAATCAATACAAGACTCCATCCTTGGCCCTCAAACTCGGCCATAGCCTCAGAAAGCTAGCAGATATTCTTGAATGTGACTCAAAAATGGAGCATTGTGTTGATGAACTATTTATTAAAAACCTCCAACGAAGCCGGCTGCTTTTTGAGAAGAGGTGGGACGTCTGTGTTTCTTCTGCTGCCCTACAGACCCTCCGGCAAGCCAAGTGGAACACTCCGGACCTGCTCCCTCTGACTGAGGACGTTAGAGCCATGCATGCACATATTGAGGTATGTCGACCTGAATATGTGCAAACCCTAATAAGTGAGCCAACGTCTAAGCATTGGTCTAAACTGGCAGTTTTGACTCTTTGTGAGGTCATCATTTTCAATCGAAGAAGGGAAGGTGAGGTTTCAAAGATGCCACTGACAGCCTTTACCTTAAGAAGTAAGACTGGGATCCATTCTGACATTGCTCTGGGACTGTCCCAACTTGAGAAAAAGCTGTGTCAGCATTTTCAACGCATTGAAATTAAAGGGAAAAGAATTCGGAAAGTGCCGGTTCTTTTGACTCCTGAAATGATTGCTTCGATGGAGGTGCTGGTGGAGAACAGAAGGGCCTGTTCCATCTCTGACCATAACCCATACTTCTTTTCCCGCCCGGGCGCAGACACCCACATCAGGGGATCAGACTCCCTACGCCAGGTAGCCAAAGAATGTGGTGCGGTGCATCCAGAGATGCTATCCTCAACCAAACTTAGAAAGCACATAGCTACTATGTCTACAGTTCTCAATATGAAAGAGAATGAGATGGACATACTTGCCAACTTCCTCGGCCATGACATTCGCATCCACAGGCAATATTACAGACTACCAGAGGGGACACTGGAGCTGGCCAAAATCAGCAAAGTGTTGATGGCCATGGAGCAGGGAAGAGTGACGGAATTCGAAGGAAAGAGCCTCGACCAGATACAAATTTAGCCTGAAGGTAATTCTTGATATTATTAAAATATGTATGATTTTTTTCCCCTAAAGGCCACTTGTATTTTTATTTTCTGTGCGACAGGGAGAGCAGTAGAGATCCTCTCACAAACGGACGGGCTAAAAGAAACTTCAAGCGGAGAACCTTCAACCATTCATCCAGATGCACCCCATGGTAGTGGCAGTGCCCCTTCTGGTAAGTGTACCAGGTGGGGGATTACAGCCAGGCTGCTTGGTCCTCACCCTGGGAGTGTATATTGCTAATATATTTTTATTTCTCTCCCTAGAACGTGTAAGAAAGCCATGGTCTGCATCTGAGGTGAAGGCTGTGGAGAAGACCATGACACCTTTCATACAGACTGGAAAGGTCCCTGGGAAGTCTCACTGCCTGGCCTGCATTAATGCCTCACCAGATGACCTTAGACATCGGACATGGAGTGGCATTAAATTCTATGTCAAAAATAGAATCACTGCAATTCGAAAACAAAATCTAAAATAAAATTCCTTTAAAATAGTTGTTTGGTTTCTATTGACTGTTTTGTATTACTTAAAGTCTTGGTAAAAAAAGATTATGTCTATGGGTCCCATTCTGAACGGCCCTGTCAAAGGGACCCACCAGGTAACAAAAACGTGTATGTGTGTGTGTGTGTGTGTGTGGTGTGTGTGTGTATGTGTCTGTGTGTACGTGTGTGTGGTGTGTGTGTGTGTGCGTGCGTTTGTGCGTGTGTGTGTCTGTGTGTGTGTGTATGTGGTGTGTGTGTGTGCGTTTGTGCGTGTGTATATGTGTCTGTGTGTCTGTATGTGTGTTTGTGTGTGTCGGTGTCTGTGTGTATATGTGTGTGTGTGTATTTGTCTGTGGGTATGTGTGTGTATGTGTGTGTGTGTGTGCATGTGTATGACGTGGATTACAAAACTTCTTGGTTGAACTTTCTCTTATTTTTCTGGGGTTTTTTGATCCACAAACTTCTTCCTGATAGAAATAAACAGTGAATAATAATTGAAACTCTTCTTCCTGTTTCCGTGTTTAGGCAAACGTGTCATATGTTCGTAAATAAAACCAAAGTTATGTTCTTAAATATAAGTGTTCTGCAGTGAGAGGAAGGAGCTGTGACGCTGTTATCTGCAGGAAACTCTGAACAGAGGAGTCCAGAGCTTATCTACCTCCTTCAGCCTCTGACGACCATGAGTCAAACTGAAACTGTAAAACCATAAAACACCAGACCAGAAGTGAAAGCACTGTTTACAACATGGTACCAGAAAGACGTCAGGAAATGCAAATGTATTTATTTATACACAGTTAGTTGTTAAACATAGATTTACTGACGATAGATTTACAAATACTGACCATACTTCAGCACACCTGTCCCACGGCGGGGGTTTCTCTCATTATTCGTCAAAAGAAGAAAAAACCAAAATGTGAGACTTAAAATAGTGTAATAATAGTAATAATAGTAATAATAATAATAATAGTAATAATAGTAATAATAGTAATAATAACAATAATAATAATAATAGTAATAATAGTAGTAATAATAATAATAATAGTAATAATAATAATAATAATAATAATAGTAATAATAGTAATAATAACAATAATAATAATAATAGTAATAATAGTAATAATAATAATAATAATAGTAATAATAATAATAATAATAATAGTAATAATAGTAATAATAATAATAATAATAATAATAATAGTAATAATAGTAATAATAGTAATAATGAAGTCCGGGGTAAGACTGTGACCCACAAAACAAAAGAGAGAGCACAGGCTACAGACGAACAGATGTGGCGCCCCCTGCAGGTGAAAGCCAGATCCCGTCAGACCTCTGAGGGTAAGCAGGGCAGGGCCTGGTTAGTGCTGTGATGGGAGACCTCTGGGAACAGCAGGTGCCACAGTGGGGCGGCTGCGGCTGTAAAGTGCCAAACTGTGGTTGTGTCCTTAGGCAAGACACTTCCCCCACATTAGAATGAGTCTGGTGTGTGTGTGAATGGTTGGTGGTGGTGGGAGGGGCCGATGGCTCAGACTGGTTGTAATGCTTCTGTCAGTGTGCCCCAGGGCAGATGTGGCTACAGTAGTAGTTTATCACCACTGTGTTTGGAGTGAAAGAACAAAACCATGTGAAGCGTCTTTGAGTTTCCAAAAAGCGCTGTATAAAACCAACACATTTTTATAATTACAGACAGACAAGAGCTAAAAAGAAGGTTAAATATACGTATGAATTCTCTCTGCTCTAATATTCTGAATCTAGTTTTGGTCTGACTCTTGGGCTGCATGAGCTCAACACGGCTGTAGCGAACTGCAGATGATCTGCTCTGTCACAACACAAAGTCTGCGGGAAAATCCATTTACACGTTGGTGTTTCAGGCACTGGTGACCTACGCAAGATGGCCGACCGTGACCGAGGGAGTCATGTGACCGAGGAAGTCCAAGTTCATGGCCCCAAAGCTCCGGACAGCAGCAGCACACACACATACTTAAATGGTTAGTCTCACTCATATCAATCACAGACGCATTCTTTAACTGTTGCCTTTTTGTTAAATTAAGTTTATAAAAGAAAAACAATTGAAAGTAGCACATTTTAGTAGTCGAACTGAAAATAATGTGAGAAGATTAGAAAGACTTGTTTTTATTTTCTACATAATACTTTGATGAGATGAAGGGGGACCCAGGAACGCAGCAATGTCAAAAATAAATATTTAATAATGAAAATAAATAATATAATATTAAAAAATATATTTCAAAAATCCAAAACAAAACTCAGGAACATAGATAAATGTGGACAGAGACAATACAATGAACCATCAACAAGGGGAGAGGAGCACAGGTACATGTAGACACAGGTACATGTAGAGACAGGTACATGTACATGTAGACACAGGTACATACAGACACAGGTACATACAGACACAGGTACATATAGACAGAGACACAGGTACATATAGACACAGGTACATACAGACACAGGTACATACAGACACAGGTACATACAGACACAGGTACATATAGACAGAGACACAGGTACATATAGACACAGGTACATACAGACACAGGTACATACAGACACAGGTACATACAGACACAGGTACATATAGACAGAGACACAGGTACATATAGACACAGGTACATGTAGACACAGGTACATGTAGACACAGGTACATGTAGACACAGGTACATGTAGACACAGGTACATATAGACACAGGTACATATAGACACAGGTACATATAGACACAGGTACATGTAGACACAGGTACATGTAGACACAGACACAGGTACATATAGACACAGGTACATGTAGACACAGGTACATGTAGACACAGGTACATGTAGACACAGACACAGGTACATATAGACACAGGTACATATAGACACAGGTACATGTAGACACAGGTACATATAGACACAGGTACATATAGACACAGGTACATATAGACACAGGTACATGTAGACACAGGTACATATAGACACAGGTACATGTAGACACAGGTACATGTAGACACAGACACAGGTACATATAGACACAGGTACATATAGACACAGGTACATGTAGACACAGGTACATGTAGACACAGACACAGGTACATATAGACACAGGTACATATAGATAGAGACACAGGTACATATAGACACAGGTACATGTAGACACAGGTACATATAGACACAGGTACATATAGACACAGGTACATATAGACACAGGTACATGTAGACACAGGTACATGTAGACACAGACACAGGTACATATAGACACAGGTACATATAGACACAGACACAGGTACATATAGACACAGGTACATATAGATAGAGACACAGGTACATATAGACACAGGTACATATAGACAGAGACACAGGTACATATAGACACAGGTACATATAGACACAGACACAGGTACATGTAGACAGGTACACAGGTACATATAGACACAGGTACATATAGACACAGGTACATATAGACACAGGTACATATAGACAGAGACACAGGTACATATAGACACAGGTACATGTAGACACAGGTACATATAGACACAGGTACACAGGTACATATAGACACAGGTACATATAGACACAGGTACATATAGACACAGGTACATATAGACACAGGTACATGTAGACACAGGTACATGTAGACACAGGTACATATAGACACAGGTACATATAGACACAGGTACATATAGACACAGGTACATATAGACACAGACACAGGTACATGTAGACAGGTACACAGGTACATATAGACACAGGTACATATAGACACAGGTACATATAGACAGAGACACAGGTACATATAGACACAGGTACATGTAGACACAGGTACATATAGACACAGGTACACAGGTACATATAGACACAGGTACATATAGACACAGGTACATATAGACACAGGTACATGTAGACACAGGTACATATAGACACAGGTACATATAGACACAGGTACATATAGACACAGGTACATATAGACACAGGTACATGTAGACACAGGTACATGTAGACACAGGTACACAGGTGAAACACATCAGGGTGGGGCAGACAGACAGGAAGTAGAACTAAAATACAAAGTAGAACAAAATAAAACCAAATCCAAACCACGACAGACTTTGCTGCAGTTTGTCTCGTGACGTGACGTTGACACAACAACATCAGGGCGGATGTTTTCAGGGTCAGAACGTAAGTAAGTAAGTTTTTATTTATATACCGCCTTTTCACTGCAGATCTGAGTCTCAAAGCGGTTTACAATTGTTATTTTTGGGCATTTGTCTCTCACTCCACACAGAGATGGGAGCGGGGCCAGTACAGGAGGCGCATGCCAGAACTATTGGACATATTTTTAGTGGTAGGGGAAACCGGAGCACCCGGAGGAAACCTACGCAGACACGGGGAGAACATGCAAA